TGGTGAGGGAGCAAGTCCCTTTCTCAGGGTCACAGCAGGGAGGCCCTGTTCGGACTGGCCGCTCTCTACTCTGGGTCCCACGGGACCAAGTTAAAGCCAGCTCTGGACAAGGCAAAGCCATCACTTCCGGCCTGAGTTTGGCCCTCCCCTCTTCTGGTTCTCTGGGGCCCCTCTGGGGCCCACGCAGAATGGCATCTGAGTAGCTCCAGAGGTCATAGCCTTTTCCCCTCATCCTTGAGAGGGCCCCTCATCTCTCTCCCCAAGCCAGCCGGATAGAGAGTGAACAGACACATGGTGTGTGCAATCCCTCTTAGGCCTTCGGCCTCCCTCCCAGCCTCTTAGCATAAACACATTCCTGAAGCCGAGCAGGAACCAAGAGTGACTCAGGCCTCAGGAATGTGCAATCTGATCCCCTCTCTTAGGGGTAAATTCCTCAGCCGAAGGTGGGCAGCTAGCTGGCCAAGCCAAGAAGCCCTGGAGGCCCTCTGCTGCACCCGGGGTCTGAGCGGCTGAGTCAGGGCTCTGGACTGGCTCTAAGGAAACAACCTGTTACAGCTGCAGCCTCTGGACTCTGCTCCTCCCACTCAGACCCCCAGAGCCTTATGGCATTGCGGGGGTGGCAGGGGTGGCAGAGGTGGGGAGCGGGTGTGGGGGTGGACGGAGTGCTGGGGACCCCATTCCACGTTCAGGTTCAGTGCTCAGATCCTGGAGCAAGCAGGCTGAGTCAGCAGAGGCAGGAGGCTGGGAGCAGGATTGTGGTGGGAGCAGACACACCAGTCCTTCCCAGGCCCAGCCGCTGAGCAGCAGAAGAGAAGAGATGTCTCTAGATGGGAGGCTGAGAGAGCTGTCAGCCAGGGGATCCCATCCACCTGGCTTCCCCGCGTGGCCCTCCAGGATGCTGGCTGCTTTCAGGGGCAGCAACTGGGAGGCTGCAGCTCCCTGTTACTCATGCCCCGCCGCCTGGCCCAGCCTAGGCTGGGGCTTCTCTGGGGACACAGCTCTGCGTCCTTGTTCAGTGCCGCCAAGCAGTTTAATAGGGAATCTCCTAAAATCACAGACGAAATCTCCCTTTTGATGGCTCTGAGGGTGCCCATTTGCTAAAAGGGCAAAACACTAAGTAAGCCTACGTCTGTGAGCCAGGTACCAAGTAAGGAAAGAATCGGAACCCCAAGTCATGGTGCACAGACAAGAAATGCAGGACCTTTGGCCTGAAGCACAGACCTGGGCAGCTTGGTGGGGGACCCAGTTCTAGGACTAGACAAGGCACAGTCACCCGCCATCACTATATATGGAACAGTTAGCTGGCCAGGTCCAAAGAGTGACCTACTGCCGTCCAGCCGCTCTCAGACAGGTCAAGGAGACCTTGACCCCTACAGCATGGTTTGGTGTGCACTGGCAGTGCCGAACCCTGGGTGTTGCAACGGCCAAGACAGGGAGCTAACCTGAGAGTGTGGTGGCCACACCCTTCCTCTGTTGGAGGACTCCCAAGAAAGGTGGCCCACCTCCTCTCTCTGTGGAAGATGATGTGGGGCTGCTGGCCCCTCCTTGCTCCTGGGCCAGAGTGATGGTTGGGACCTACACTTGACCCCCCCTTTTCCCTGGGGCTTTGAATGTGGAGGGAGTGATGCAAGATTTCAGAGAGAGGCTGAGAGACCGGAGAATCTAGCAGTGTCCATCCAGGGGTGGCAGACCCTAGCACACTGTCCACCTGTGCTCAGCTCCCTAGTTCCTGCCTGTTTCCAGCCTGGTTCTCCAGCCTTCCTGATAATCCCGTTAGCCACCCAATGTCCTTCCATTAAAATCCTTTTCTAAGTAAGTTTGCCAAAGCTCGTTTCTGTGGTTTGCATGCGAAGGCCAAGTGCCATGGATTGGCGTGTGCCAAGGCCTGGGGCGTGAGAGATCCTGACTCAGGACAGCTCAGAGGGGTTATCCACGATGTCAGGACCACACCTTTGATCCCATATGCTTTGCTTTAGAATCCTTGCTTGCTTAGGGTATGAGCAGAGGCTGAGGGTGACTGAGAGCCTTGGTTCTGGGTGGAGGAGCTGGCCCTGGGAGCTCTCAGGCTGAGAGTGGCAAGTAGGTCAGAATGTGAGGGGACATTGAGGCAGGCCCTAGGGTCCAGGGTTGGTGAGTGGCACAGGGCTGGGACTCCTCCTCAGCCTGCTCAGAGCAGGCAAGTACCCCATCCAGCCCATGGTGTGGCAGGCACAGAGATCAAAAGTGGTGAAGGTGCGGGAGGCAGGGCAGGCAGAAGTACTCAAGAACTGGGCAGGCAGCTGAGCAGAATCCCAGATTCAAGGGCTCACCCCTGCCCGGGCCACCAGCTCCTCGGCCTTGTCTCTCCATAGCGCATGGAGGCCTGAAGCGTGGGCTCCCAGGGCAGGGCATGGGCGCTGGATGTTCTGACCCTGCCAGGTCTGAACCCAGCCGTGGGGGGAGACCCAGCATAGCGGGTGCTTGTTCCTGTTGGACATTGTTCCTCCCGAGAGCAGGATGAGCCGAGCCCAGCGGGCTGAGGTCACGTCTGCCCAGTGACAATCATCCCACTGTCCCTCTGTGGGGATACACAGCACCCTTCCAGCTGCTCCTTAGATGACCTTTTAGATGCCTGTGAAAGCCGAGTGGAGAGGGGGTGGGTGGGTCCCCTGACGGCGACGATGGCAGGGGCAGAGGAAGAGGCTACAATGTAAGGGGCTGACCAGTGACGGGGAGAGGGGCCCATCTCTGGGGCCCTCTCAGCTGGAAATGGGGAAATTCGAGGACCATCCCAGGGCAGCCACAGAGCACACCCTTGCCTGCTGCCCCCATCCCTTCCTTACTGGTTTGTGCTGCCCAAGAGGCCAGCCATCCTCCAGGACCTCTTTTCCCGCCCATCTCTCTTTCCCAGCCTCCTCCACACTTGGGTTGATAAGAACTCCAGCACCATCCCTGTCTGCCCGCCCTTCCTCCAGAGGTTCAGAGCCCTGCCCTTCCACCTGCGCTGGGAAGGCTGTGTTTCCAAGGCTGTTCTGTGCTGCCTGAGTCTTCATCTCCCTTCAGCAGACCAGGAGCCCTCCCCTTCAGGAAGGCAGGCAGGCAGATTGGTGGACAGACCCTAGGGTGGCCTCATGATTCCCCGCCCCCTGTTCTATCCATAATTCCCTCCTCTTGGGTGTGGGTGGAACCTGTTTCTTGCTCCTAGCCAATAGAATATGGCAAAGATGAAGGGATTTTGCAGGTGTCATTAAGATCCCAAATCAGTTGAGCTAATCAAAACAAAGATTGGGGCACGCCCAGTGCCATAGTGGTTAAGTTCATGCACTCCGCTTTGGCAGCCTGGGGTTTGCTGGTTCAAATCCTGGGCACAGACCTACACACTGCTTATCAAGACATGCTGTGGCAGCATCCCACATACAAAGTAGAGGAAGATGAGCACAGATGTTAGCTCAGTGACCATCTTCCTCAAGCAAAAAGAGGAAGAATGGCAACAGATGTTAGCTCAGGCCAATCTTCCTCACCAAAAAAAAAAAGAAAGAAAGGAAAAAAAACCTCAGAGATTGTTCTGTGTGGGGCTGGATTAATCTGGTAAAAGCCCTTAAAAGAGGGATTGGGCCCTCCCTGAGTTGAGAGTCTCTCTTTGCTGGCTTGATGGAGTAAGGAGCCATGTTGAGGAAGCCCACCTGGCCAGGAACCATAGGCAGCCTCTAAGATGAGAGGTGGCCCCCTAGCTAACAGTAAGCAGAAGAGCTGGGCCTCAGTAACACAGCTGTAAGGAAATGCATGAACTCAGAAGCAGAGTCTTCCCTGTTGGAGCCTCCAGATGAGAAAGCCACTCAGCTCACACCTTGATTACAGTCCTGTGAGACCCTGAGCAAAGGATCCAGCTAAGCCGTGCCCAGACTCCTGACTGGGGAAACCGAGACAAGATGATGAAAGGGGGCTGCTTAAGCTGCCAAGTTGGTAGTAATTTGTTACATAACAAGAGAAAACTAACACCGGCATGGAAGTGGAAGGGTCAGCACTCAGGCTGGAGCCTGGAAAGGGAGGGAGGTGTCTTTCCTTCTTCAGGGTCAGAGCCCTGATTCCAAGTCCCCAGAGGGCCAGAGGCAGCAGCTGGCCAGTGGGCAAGGGCCCTCACTGGGACCTGGTTTCCAGGTTTTGCTGAGGAAAGTCTGCACTGGGGACGGGTGTAGCCAGGAGTGCGTGTGTGGGACACTTACCTGGGGGTGAGTCCTCTGCAGGTGGGTCCTGGGGCCTGGTCTAGTACCCTCAACAGGAGTGGAATTCCTGTTTGCAATTGAATTTGAATAATACTGAATTTGCATAATGATTCTCAGTGAAAACTGATCACTTGCCTGGTTGGCCTTCACTCCCACCAGCAGCTCCTGGGCTCCCTGTTCCCCGCAACTTGCCAGCACTTGATAGTATCCCTCTTGGCAATTTTTGCCAATCTCACGGCTGTAATATAATATCTCATTGTTTTAAGTCGCATTTCCCTGATAGCTAGTGAGGCTGACAACCTCTGCACGCACTTGTTAGGCATTTGAGTTTCCCTTCCTGTGAATTCTCTTTTATATCCTTTGATTCCTCTCAAAAACTTTTTTTGCTTTTTTCCCCTGGAGGTATCCAAGGACCTCCAGCTTGGTCCAAACCCAGGGGCAGCCACTCAGCCCTCCCCTCCTTATCCCCTGGCTCTGCCCAGCTCTGCCACCAGGCCCTGTGCCTTCTGCACTAGCCCCTTGGGTCTGTGTCCCTGAGTGTGGGCCGCTTTCTGGGGTGGAGCGTGGGTGTGGGTTCAGGATCTTCCTGCCCTAGATAAGAATCTGGAGAGATTATGATAGAAACAGATTTATAGCTGTCTGTCCTGTTGATCCACAGCCTTTTTACTTGCTTTTTTTTTTAAGCCAGGAGGCAGAGAGGCAGTCTGTTCCCTCCCAGGCCTGGCCCGGTCCCTTATTAGGGGTATTCTGATGGGACTTGTGGGTGGGTGACTAGATATTGATTTTCTCCTGTTGCAGGGACCCAGGCAGCCCGGAGGATCCCCACCCCCGAGACTGACTACAGTCACAGAGAACCAGAGAGAAAAACACAAGTGACCCCACTGAGGCTGCAGAGGCAACGGGGGCTTCCGGGACAAACAATGGCCCTCTGTGTCTGGTTTCTCCTGAGGCCCGGAAGCGCTGGTGCGTGGCACACCGATGAGTCATGCAGGATATCTCCCCGGCCTGCTTTGTTGTGCCCAAAAATTGCTCCCCCGACCTGAAAGGGCAGATGATGTCATCGGCTGCTCTGGGGAAGCCCTGTCACTGGACAGTCCCAGGAATGTCGCCTCCCACTAACAGCTCCCAGTCCAGGTCCCCGGCCTTGAGAGAGTTCCCGGAGATGGGGGGTGGGTGCTAGGCAGAGAGAGCCAGCTAGGAGGAATAGACCCTCATGGAGTCCAGGGAAACCCCTGCTTTGTTCCCTCTGGACGCAGTGCGTGTGTGCTGGCTGCCCAGCCTCAGCTGTGTCCTGTGGAGTTTCCTGGACTCACGAGAAGCCCCGGACAAGTGTATTAGGGGCATCCCAGGGAGGGCCGACCAAGACTGGCAGGAAGCCGAGGGATGGAGCGGTCACCGAAACCTAGCTTGGACTGTGCGGCCTGGGAGGGAATGAGGACGGACTTTCCACTTGGCTGGATTTGACAGAGATTTCAGAAACAAAAGTCACGTGATACTGAGGCCATTTCGATTTTCGGAACTTGGACATTGCTGCCATTTTCAGTTGTTTAAAGTATATCCCACTGGATGGTCCAGAGTGTGGCTCCAGAGTCACACAGCCACACACCCACTGACTGCATGGCCTTGAGCAAGTTACTTTACCTCTCTGAACCTTGGTTTCGTCCTCTATAAAATGGGATGGTGGTACTGCTCCTAAGGCTGTGTGGGCATGCAGAAGTTTACTACGCCAGCTGCCTAGCCATGGCCAGCCCTAGGTAAATGATGGTCTCCTCTCTTCCCTTCATTCCCCTAGAGCTTGGATGGGGCTCTTAGTTGGGCTTCTATTCTGGCTCATCTCCCGGAGACTCATGGCCTGGACATATTCCTTGCACCGCCTACCTTTCCTCCGGATGCAGGTGGTGAGTGAGGCCACCTGTCAGATCCTCTGGTGAAAGAACCGCCCCAGTCAATCAGAAGCCCAAGAATGATGTCATCGCCACCTTCTGCTGGGGTTCCACATCTGGCTGGTTACCATGGCGAGCAATTGCTCAGAGGACAGCCCAAAGAGAAACACTGTAAGGATGGAAAGTCTAGGCCAGCAGGCCCAGGGGAGAGGCGTGGGAATCCCAGGGCTCGGCCCCAGAAACCACTGAGACCCAGGCCCCTCCTACACACACTGCATCTGTCCCACCCCTAGGGCAGCCCCGGAGCAGCTGAGGAGCCACAGATAGCACGCCAGGACCTGGGCAAGAGAAGCCGTTCTCGATGGGCGCCTCTCCACCTCTGCCCTGTGCTGCTGTCCTTAGAGCGCTGGCCCTGATCCGCCTGCCTGTACCCTTGCCAGGGATCCACAAGTCACCTAAGGGGAAATGACACGGTGCTGAGTGTTCCCTGTCAGAGGCTGCCAGCCCAGTGGATCATCACGAGAAACTACACACGCAAGTCCGCAGTCACCCCTGGCCACAAAAACACCCGACTGTGAAGGGAGTTGAAGAGTCACACTGGAGAGGTTTGAAGACAGAGGCCACGTCGGGGCAGGCCCTGGAAACGTGTTTTCAGGGGGTTCTGCCATGGCCGGCGTGTGGGTTACTGAGCCGTGTTACGCAGTCTCTGGAAGGCCTGGCCCCACGCAGTCCCAGTGCCAGGACTGTCGCTTGGACAGCGCGCTCCCTCGTGGTCCCCTTCTGCCCACGTGGAGCAGCAGTGGCTCTCAAGAGGCCATCCAGCCCAGGGTTCAAAAGCCCCGTCATTTCAGCTTCAGCAACAACCTCAGTCGGTCTGGACCCTGCTTGTGTCCGTCTCCTGCCCATCTCCACCTCCCGGAGGACCCTCCAGCCACAGAGAAGCACCCTCGCACTTCCCAGATGGGCCCTCCTTCCGCCCGCAGGTCTTTCTTCCCCATCGCCCCCTCTGTCCACGTCAGGGCTGTGTTAAAGCCACTGACATGTCACTGGAAATGCACGGAGTTGGGAAAATTGCATGGACTAGAGCTTCTCTTGGGGAGAACACTGCATGTGGTTCAAAGGAAGTCTTGGACAAGACACTCAGAGAGGAGGTGAGACCCCCAAGAATAGCGCTCAGCCCCAGCAGAAGGCTGGGGAGCATTCTGGGAGGCTGGGCCTGCAGCCCTTTGGTCTCTCCGAGTGGGCGGGTGTGGGGCCAGAGCTGAACTGCTCACGTCGACAGAAGGCATCCTCCTTTCTGCCTACTTCCCACTCAGCTTCCAGCCCCTCCCCCACATCAATATTAAGTCAATATTAAAAGAATATCAATTTATAGTGTCCCCCATCCTTAATCTCCCTGGAACCCTATACCCTTAGCTTGCCCTGGGCCACCCCATGTCTCAATCCAGGCCTGACAGCACACCCCTACTCACTCTGCAAACCCGACTCAGCCGTTCTTCCTTTGGGAAGCTTGGCTCACACTAGCACTAAACAAATATTGCTTTCTGTTCTTTCTCCAGTACTCATCCCAGTGCTCAGCCCAAAGTGTGTCCCCTGGAGTGTTCGTGATGGCCGCAGGGGCTCTTAACCTGAGTCAGCAGAGGACACCTCATTACGCCCACACACGGCCTGAGGTGCACGTACTTAGGTGTGCATGCAGACGAGAAATGTGTGTGATGATTTCAAGCATCTGACACCAGATCCATGCCCTCTCCTGCACCAGACGTGCTCCCCTTTCCGATGTCCCTGTTCCTGTCCTGGCCCCAGCAGCCTCCTAGCCCCACTCAGCCCACTTGGAGTCTGTCTGCAAATCCACTTGCACTTTGTCCTCTTCACCCGACTTGTGACTGCCAGCGCCCAAATTTAGGTTCCAGTTCTGTCTACTCAGGACCCACCCTGCCAGCCAAGCCCGGGAACAGTCAGGTCGTCAGTCCCCAAGCCCAGCTTTCTTCATGACACCATTCTGCCTTCCAGACACAGCGGCAGGCCCACTCCTACCCACTGCCCGTCACTGAGGGCCCCTGTGATGTGGCCCTGTCTGTTCATCCAGCCTCCCTAATACACACCCTCTGCTCCGAGCCTACTGGCCTCTTTGTGGCCCTGGCACGGTCCCTGCTCAATCCCACGCCTGGGCCTCCATTCCTGACTTTTCTCTACCTGCCGTGTTCTCTCCTCTGCCTCCTGCCCGGCCCACCAAATCAGTGCCATCTCCAAGGCCCGGCTCAGCTCCCATGGACCCCAAGTTACCCTCTCTGGCCAGCACAGCCTCCATGACTGTGCCCTCCTCTGCACCCTGTGGGCTTGATTATTCCACAAAGACAGAGTCTTTAAAGCCTCGGTCTACTTCATATAACTAGAGCGCCTACTGTGTGCAGGACACTCATCTAACCGGGCCCCCATAGCCAGACTAGCCATGGCCAGGCTGAATGTGGACTCTGGGCATAAAATCCTCTGGCATCAGTGTTGCCACAGGGCTGGGGCCTGTGGGGCCACTTGTGTGACACATGAGTCCAGGCCTGGCCTTCCTGCGGAGGGTCAGATCTGGAGCTGGAGCTTCAGGCAAGGGGGCTGTCCAGAGACTGTAGACCCCAAACAAATCAGTGCAGGGAATTCCCAGGACCACCCGTTCTGGACATCCTAATGGGAAAAGACTCATTAGTGGGAATTCTGTCCTTGTCATATGTTTTCCACTGAACCAAAGGATGTGACTGAGTATCCTTTGGTTCTTAGAAAGCAACTGCTTCTACACAGAACAGAAACAGAAACTTCAGCCTGCATTGTCGCTCTCGTGACAAGTTCTGCTTCCCAGAAGGCAGGAAAGGCCAAAGAAACAGTGTAGACTCTGTGTGATGGGATCAGTTTCCATTTTTGTTGTGGAATGAAAAAAAATCCCCGATTGCAGTGTGTGCCCTGGTCCCACACTGAGGGCACAATTCAAGGCCTCTGTCTTCTGCAGAATATCTGGGGGCAGCAGTAACTGTCAGCTCCTGCTATGTGCTGGCCACGTTTCAACACGAGGAGTAGGGAATACTGCCCTACTTGAGAGGAGGTCATATGGCCAGGCAGTGGCAGAGCTGGGACACCTACCCAGCCCTGCCCTGCTGTCCAGAGCCTCTAAAATGAAGCTCACGTCTCAGGGGGTTCCCAGGCCAGTGGGGAGACAAGACAGGGAAGCGTGGAAAGTGAGATGCTGTGACTCCAGTGGCAGGAGAGTATGTGCAGGGAAGACTTCTTGGAGGAGGTGAGGTTCTAGCTGTTTCTCTGAGGACAGGAGAAGAAGAAGAATGGGTAGAGGGAAGAACAGGAGCAAAGACTGAGTGGAGAGAAGCAAGACCTGGAGGAAGATGGGATGGGATAGATTTCAGGGCCCTCCCAAGTAGCCTGGCAGGAACTTCTTGGTCAGCCCTTTTCGGAAACAATTATTTTCTAATGAGTGGCCCCTCCTTGAGTGCGAGTAAGGGAGCCTAACAGCCACTCACACCTTAATTACTCAGCTGCTCCCTGGGTGGGTGGGCCTGAGAGAGAGGGTGGCAATGGCACGGAGGATACAGAGGAGGCGTGGACCAGGGCCCTGTGTGGAAGAGCAGAGGAATGCAGAGATGTGTCTTGGCTTCTTCCACACTGCCCTGCTCCTCAGCTGGTGCTGTGCTGGGGCCTCCAGGGATGCTGAAAGAGGGGCTCACTCCCTTTGGGGACCTATAAGGTAGGAGCCGTGAGGCTCGTGGGGAGCCGGGGAGCTGGGCAGCTGGGGACTTTGAGTTGAGGCCAGATAGCATCCTGGAGTGTCAGAGCTGCAGGAGGAGGCAGTGGGCCCCTCTTGGCCTTTCCTGACTTTGAGTCAGCTGATGGCTTCAAATAAGCCCAGGAGGCTTTGGACTAGAGCTTCTGGGCTGCGGGGTTGACACTGTAGTGTCCATGTGCTTCCTGCCCCCACACGGCCTCTCTGGGCTGCAGGACTGAGCCAGGTAAACATCTCGCCAGGCCCCTCACCCTTGGAATGCGGCCTCAGCTCAGCAAATGCATCCCCTGGGAGTATGAATAGCAGAACCAGCCCCCAGAATCCATTGTTCTTGAAGTTCCAGGGAAACCAAAACAAATTCCCAACAATACAGGAGTGAGGACGGAGCGGAGTGTGGAAAGGGCAGAAAGGGCCGGTGGGGCCTTTGTCCTTAGGCATCCAGACATTTATATTTTCCACATTATTGAGTGGGAAATGGCTCCTTTTATGCCAACAATAACAACCACCATCCCCTCCATGTTCTCATTTAATCCTGGAGAAAACCCAAGCAAGGCCAACATTAGCATCCTGTTATAAAGATGAGGGGACTGAGGTTCCCAGAGGCCCCGTGACCTCCCCAGGGTGCCAGAGTTAGTAAATGCTAGAGCTGGGACTCGAACCCAGTGTCTCAGCTTCTTTCCAGTCCAGCTCAGTGGAGCCAGCTGCCCCCATCCCAGGATAGGATTGGACTGCAGGGTCTTGCCTGCTTCCCTTGAGCTTCCCAACGTGGAATCAGCCGGATAAGGAAGCAGATTCTTTTGTGAGGTGGCCAGGAGGCCAGGCTTGCCCAGTACTGCCTGTCCCTGAATGCTGCCGTGTGAAGGCCTGGTGCCAACTGTGCAGGGCTGGCCAGGCCATCATCCTCCCACCAGCCCAGGCTGACTGTGTTCTCTGTCTATAGCCACACCTTTTCCCATAACTTCCCACTGATGTCCGTGTGCTTGGGGGCCTGGGAACGAGGTCTCCCAGAAGCCCTCTCCAAGGCCAGCTCAGCCCTCTCACCAAGCCTGGGGCCTTTGCAATAGTAGGAAGAAAGTAGCAACAGGTAAACCACTTAGAGATAATTAGCAATTGGTTGTATCTCCTCCAACACCAAAAGATTTTTGTGGGCTAATATTTTTAGCAGAAAAAGAAAAATTGCTAAACTCATAAATCGTGATTTTGTGTACTCATCTATTTCCAAGATTCACTGTGAGATCACTCAGAGCTTGTTCTTTGATTATGGCCATTTAGCAAATGGAATTCCAACAGGCTTGCTGGAGTCTCGCATGCCTTGCAGTTTGCACCAAGAAGCTGTGCGTGACAGCACTTCCATCTGGCAGATGGCCTCACTGGAATGCACTCAGAAGTCTCGAGAACGGAGGCATAAACAGAAGCAAAATTAATCAGTGCAATTGTTTTCTCTGCCATGAACATGACATGTCTCTGGATTTTTGAGGGCAGCATGCACGGGAAGGACCCGGCTTTGCATTCTCCACGGCTTTCAAAACCATGTCAGGTGTCCAACATGCTTTGATAGCTGACATTGGTCTTCCTGCTCACTCTCTGTCTCCTCAAAAACCCTGTCTCGGGCCAGGCCGACATGCAGCGAGCAGAGCCCTGGGCGCCCATAGAGGCAGCAGTGCTGAGACCCCCCCACCCTGAGGAGCCAGACATTACTGGCTCTGACTGAAGGCTCTCTGGAATCTGGTTTTGGTAATTGTTATTTTTATGAGAAAATTACTTGTTTTTGTTCCTTGCAGAGCAGAAAAAGGAAAACAACTCAAGCCAATAGCTGAACAGGAAGGGGAAGCCCATGCCTCCTGTCTAAGGACTGGGAGCTGCGGGTTTGGCGACGCCTCCAGGAGCAAAGGCTGGGAGGCAGTGGCTCCTGCAGCACAGCGCTCTACCCTGAGCTGGTCCTTTTTTGGGAACCTCTGAATCTTAGGTTTTCAGTCCACAAAATGGCAACTCAAAACCTGCTGAAAATATGGGTCTCAGGATTAAAAGGGATGAGACAGGGGTTATAGGGTCTCCCCGGGAAGAACAAGCTACAAAGCACCCCTCGTGGGGCGACCTGAGGTCCCGTGGGTGGGGCGGGACTCCCAAGCTTGAAGAGGAGAGGGTTTTTCTGTGGGAAAGGTGAGGTTGGGGAAGGCCAGACAGGATCCTGGACATGCCAGACCTGCCTTCTCAGGACCCCAGGGCCCGGCTCCTGGACCTGGCAACACAGGCTGGCCACACCCAAGACAAGGTTTCTCCTTCCAAACCACACCCCCCCACCCCACATCCTGGCCTGACCTCAGGGACAGAGGGACCTGATCACTCAGATTCCTATTAAACTTCAGGAGCTGGAGCTGCAGAGAGGGATCTGCGTGTTCACCTACACACCTCACGCTCTGACCCCAGCACCGGGGGAGAGAGGCTTTGGGGCGGGGCTGTCCTTCTGTCTGGGGCTCAGGAAGTGAGGGAATGGGGGAGCGCTGGCCAGGATGCTGCTCCTGGTGAGATGGCTCTGAATACGGGTAAGTCCCTGAGGAGAGGGACCTGATGGGGCCTCGGCCCTGCTACCCTGTGTTAGATTCTTATGGTCACTGTAACCAATTACCACAAACCTGATGATTTTAAACAACAGACCTTTATTCTCTCACAGTTCTGAAGGCCAGAAGTCCCCAGTTGCTTTCACTGGGCTGAGATCAAGGTGTGGGCAGGCCAGCACTCTCCCCAGAGGCCCTGGGGGACAATCTGTTCCTTTGGTCTTCCAACTCCTGGTGGCTGCCAGCATTGCTTGGCTTGTAACCCCACGACTCGAATCTTCAGATCTCTCTCTGCTCTGTCTTCACATCGGCTCCTCCTCCTCTGTGTCAGACCTCCCTCCGCCTCTCTCCTATAAGGATGCCTGTGATGGCATTTAGGGCCCACCCGGATAATCCAGGAGAGTCTCTGCATCTCAAAATCCTTCACTTAATCACATCTGTCAAGACTCTCTTTCCAAACACGGTAACTGTATTAGTTTCCCAGGGCTGCCACAACAAATTAGCACAAATGTGTTGGCTCAAGACAACAGAAATGTGTTCTCTCACAGTTTGAGGATGGAAGTCTGAAATCAAGGTGTCAGCAGAGCCAAGCTCCTTCCAGAGGCTCTTGGGGAGAATCCTTCCTGGCCTCCTCCAGCTTCTGGTGGCTCCTGGCATTCCTTGGCTTATGGCAGCATCACTCCAGTCTCTGCCTCCATCTTCACACGGGCTTCTTCTTTGTGTATCAAACCTCCTTTCTCTTATCAGGACTTAGGCCCACCCTAAATGCAGGATAATCTCAAGTTGAGATCCCTAACTTAACTATATCTGCAGAGACCCTATTTCCAGATAAGGTCACGTTCCCAGGAACCAGAGATGAGGACTTGGACATTGGCCATTTACTGAGGACCTTCTATGTTCCAGGTAATTTTCCTCATTATATCATTTAATCCTCATAATAGTTCTGACCTTCTAACTGATGAAGATACTGAAGCTCAAAGAGCTTTAGCAACGAGACCCGGCTGTCACGGCTACTAAGTGATGGAACCAAAGTAAGAACTCAGGTTGGCTAGAGGAGAAGCTCCTCGGTTTTTTCACACCATCATGATGTCTCTCCTTGTGACAAATTTAGAGTTCTAAATCACAGGCATAGGGTGGAGCAGGGTTGGGGATATCACTGCAAAGTCTGAAGGCTACCCCAAGACCTGAATCAGGAGTCTATGTAGCCCCAGGGCTGGGTCATGGATGGCAGGGCACAGCGGAGGGGGTTCTGATGGGCATGGAGGTGTTCAAGAAAGAATTACCGTGACATTTGGTAAAGGACAGTAAAGCAGACTTTATTCAGGGCGACAGTCACAATAGGTACAGGGGCCATTGCAGTGGGGTTTTGCAGTAGGGCAGAGAGTTTGGGCCCATCTCCAAATACAAGGAAAAGTGGGAATTGATAGCCAAGGAGTGGGGTGAGGGGGTGTCAGTGGATGGAAAATTACCAGGAGGAAGCATCAGGGGTGAGGGAGGTTCTGGCTAATCCCACCTGACAGGATTCTTGCTGAAGGCAGGCGGGGGTGATCCCACATCACCTGGGGGCTGGTGGGGGATGAGCAACCCGATCAGATACCGAGGGGCATCAGATATCAAGGATGGGGGATTCTGGCAAAAGTGACTTAGTGGGATTCTTGCTAAAACTGGACAATGCAGAGATGAACACAGAGGCCCAAAAGCCAGGCCTAGGTGAGAAGAGAGTTTAGAAGCGCCTGAGGAGAGTTTGGTCAAGAAGAGAATCAGTCAGAGGAGAAGCGGCTTCCGTCTGGAAACCTCGGTGTTCTGAGCTGGAGGGAGGCAGCCGAGTCCAGAAAGAGCCTGAGGGGAGCCACGGAAGTTGGCAGCAGAGCCAGGCCTGAGCTCTGCTTCCCAGGCCTCTCCCGGGGGCTGCGCTGCCCCCTCAGGGACGGGCCTCAGCTGGGGTCTATGAAGCGGTCTTAGGTCTACAGTCCCATTCTCCTCAGCTGCTCTGGCCTGCTGGAAGAGGAGACAGGCAGATGGGACCACGTGACTTAGTGTTCAGTGCCAGTCCCCCAGGAGTGGCACTGGGGAGGTGGCGGGCTCCATTTCAAGCACATGAATTGACACCTGCTGTCAGCATTGGGGTGAGCTTCCAGCTTTGCCTGGGGACCCAGGGACGTGGCAGGGTTCGCTGCCCCCAGGGCACTCAAGATGGCTCCATAGAAAGACTCCCTCCTGAGGTTTCGGGGCAGGTGGGCTCGAGGCAGGATCACGGGAGTCTTTGTGGGCCAGGACGAGGATCAGAGGGGCGGAAGCAGGCTGGGAGGGTCTCTGCTGACTTTTCTCCTCAGCAGGAGGAGGTCCTAGGGGTTCAAAGGACCCTGTTTTTTCCCAGTCTGTGGCGCCAGTCCCAGTTTGGCAACTGACCCTTGGGGAGAACCAGGGCAGTGAAGTTGGAATAGCTCAGGCACAGGAAAAAGGACACAAAGGCGAACAATGTGGGGAGTGTTCAGCAGGAAGAGATGGGAACAGCAGGCCAGCTGCTGGGCAGGCCTCAGGCTCCAGGAGTCTGGGAGTGCACAAGTGACCCAAGTCCCAAGTGACCAAGTGCACAAGTGGGGCCCAGGCGGTGCCAGGAGGGGAGGGGGCCCCGACCTAGAGGTGGAAAAACACAGAGAGAGCAGGGGAAGGGGAAGGCCTGAGAAAGGGGGGTGAGCTGAGGAAGGGGCTTCCGGTGTGAAGGGCTGAGGAACAGCCACCTCCAGTCAGGCCGGAGGTTTCATCTTTATTAAGGGGCAGTGATTCTTGTCTGTTCTCACCCAGGCTGACTTAGCAGCTTCCAGCCCTTGCTGCTTGCAAGGCCTGCGCTGGAGGCAGTATAGAGAGCAGGGGACAGGGTGCTGGTCCCTAGATCCTGGGCCCTCTCCAGGGCCTCGCTGCTCCTGTCACTCACCCTGAATCCTGCCATCCTTCCTAGCCCTCCCGTGACTCTTTAGGGTGCAATCCAAGCCCCAGCTGCCATCCGAGGCCTTCTGGGCTCTGCCTGCTGCCCTCCCCATCTTCCCGCCCTCCACCCCTCCAGCTCAGAGCTGCTGGCTTCCCAGCCCCCAGGCTTTTGCCCGTCTTGCTCCCCTTTCTCAAACACCATTTCTTCTCTCCTCCACCATCAGAAGCCTCCTAACCTCTGGGGACTCCGTTCAGGCATTGCCTCCCCTGGGAAGCCCGCCCTGCTCTCTCAGCCTGGGCAGCCCCCAATGCCCTCCATGGCAAGCCCAGAAACACTGTAACGGAAGGAGACAGTTACCCATCTCTCCCCTGCCATCCTGAGCTCCTGAGGCCACAGTGGCGTCTCTCTGAGTCTTTACCCAGCCGGGACCAAGCTGGGCCATGCTGAGAGCAGGTGTCCACAGAGCGTTTCTGGATGAATGAGCTGGAGAGCTCAGGGTCAGCGACCTGGGGGGAATCTTTCAGAGGTGGTGAATGGAAGAGAGGCATTTCGCCTGCTCTAGGGGTCTAGAAAGCTGGAAAAATACACTCCTCAAGGCTTGTGATGGAATGCTTTCTAATGGCAGCAGGATTCGGTGTCTCAGATTCAGGTGTCTCAGCCAGAAACGCAGGGAGAAAGTCCCTTTCGAACACTGCCGGGAGGCAGGTGCTAGGGCGGGAGGAGTGGGCCGAGGGTCAGGAGCCCTGGAGGAGTCTGCGGCCAGGGAGCAGGGCTGTGGGACTGATTCGGGGGGGCTAGGGGCAGCCCCTCTCGTAAAGGGTCAACTTTTGGCTTTCCTCCCCCACGTTGAGACCAGAAAGGTCTTAGACCGAAGACGGACTTAGAGGCAGGGTTGCCAGGTAAAATATAGGTTAAATTTGAATTTCAGATAAATGAATAAATTTTTTAGTCTAAGTCCATCCTAAATATTGCATGTGACATACTTAGACTGAAACAATCATTTGTTGTTGATCTGAGATTCAATTTAGCCAGGCGTCCCAAGTTTTAATTTACCAAATTGGACTACCCTATGCGGGAATCAGCCTGGTCTGAGGGGCAGGAGGCCCACAGACCCCATTACAGTAAAATGTTTCTAAAACAAACACCACCTCCAGCAACTTGCACAGAAAACGAAACATGTGACTTCCTAAGAATACATTATTGTCTGAAGGTGGAAGTCCGTGGATTTGAAGGAAAAAACAAAGTTTTCTGCTGAGGAAGAGTGAGTCACAGGCAAGCTGAAAATGTTTCTCTGGCTTTTGGGGTCAAGTGGACATGGACCCCCTTTCTCCCTCCTTTGCAAATCCGTTCACACATCTTCCCTTGGCAGGGCCCGGGCAGGGCTGGGCTGGGCCCTGACTAAGTCTACCAAGACCCTCCAACCGTGCCACTCCTGGCCACCAGCCCCCCAGGCCCCTGAGGCCCCTCCTGACTCCGCTGACCCTACAGAGGGGCCATTGTCTCCTAGCCACTGGCCTAGCTCTGCCTGCACCCATGGAGCTGGGCACTTGGACCCTTAAGGCCAAACTGGGGGCTGAGCTTTAGAGCAGCCAAGAAGGCCCCTTAGGGCACGGAGGCAGGCAGGCACTGAGCCAGCTGCTGAGAGGATGTGATGTCCCCAGGGAGGTCTCAGCCCTGAGCGCTGGGGCTCGGAGCTGGAAGAGGCCACCGTGGGCTGTCCGTCTGCCCATCAGCAGGGGGCTCTTTGAGAGAGGCAGGGTGTCTTATGGCTCTCCCTCCTAGCCTGTCCCCAGCACAGTGGCTCCCCTGTCCCACAGAGTGTGGAATGTGTGTTACCTCGGCAACTGCAACCCCAGGCCCTGGGGACAGGCTGCCACAGGACAGGCAGAGATGTGTGCAGTGTGGCTGGGCCTGGGCCTTCTTCCCTCGCCCCTTGTCTAGTCTGCATCGGCAGCAGAGGGCCCTGTTAAACCCACATGTCTGATCCCAATGCTCCTCTACTCAATACCCTGCAGGGGTGCCCGTCTCACCCCAAGTGAGCACGGAGGCCCCCCCAGGGCCATAGCCCACACTCTGCCCCGTTACCTCCTGACCTCAGCCCCCAGGAGCCTCCCCTGGCCGACCCTCTCTTCCCACGGGGAACTGAACAAGCAGGGCTTCATACTTGCCATTCCTTTTTTCTGGAATGCTCTTCCCCCACAAGGGTCCCCTCCTTCAAGTCTTCCCTCAAACATCTTCTCTGACCTCCTGACCCGTTAAGATTGCAGTCCCCTCCCCATACACCAGCACCACCTTCCTCTGTCTCCCCAGCAAGCTTCACCTTCCGTGATTTACTTACATTTGGGGCCGACTGTCCATCTCCAGCGCTCGACCACAAGGACTGAGAGGGCAGGCATTCATGTCTCTTCCTAGGACAGGTGGGGCCCCCAGCAGGTGTGGCTGAGTGGGAGGGGCCCCGTGCACAGAGCAGCCCAGCCCTGGGGGACAGGTGAGGTGGGGACTGGATCTGCCACCTCACAGGGGGCTGACTGTGCAATGAGCACCAGGAAGCCCCTTGTAGCCTCCACAGTGGGGAGGAGAGGGGCCCGGACACATCTTCAGGGTAGCCTTCCACCTCTTAGGGGCCATCTGTGCGAGCTTGCACCAGTTGAGCTGCTATAAACTTCAGGCCAGGTCCCACTGGCATGGAAGGGACACTGGGGATCCTGAGGAGGGAAGCCCAGCTGCCCACCATGGATGGATGGGGCGAGAGGGCAGGGTCACAGGTCAGGGAGTGACCTTTCTAACTTGGGGTCAGTCGTCCTGGCAAGCTGAGCACAAAGCCAGCCTCTCCTGTCTGCAGGAGGTCGTCTGGCCCCACGACATTCCAGGCATTCTTTGGGGTCTTTGTGGCCTAGGTCTGTGTCTGGGGGGAAGTAGAGCTTTGTTTAGTGAGGAAGTGTCTGACTGACTGCAGACCCCTTTGTTTGGCCGCCAGCACAGCCTGCCTTCCTCAGGCCCCACTGTCTGGCCCGGCTGACCAGCTGGGGTGAGGGTGGGGGTGGGGACAGAGGTCCCTGGGGCTGGTTCCCTCCCACTGCCCTGCAGGCACAGAGCCCGTGACGGGCCTTCCTTCTCAGTACCCAGCTGGGCCTGGCCTCAGGTAAGGGGAAGGCTGAGAATCCCAAACTTCAGCCCCTTATTCCAGAAGCAGCATCTTAAATGGGATGCAGCCTGGCCTGTGGAGAGAACCCGAACCCAGGGGTCACCCACATTGGCTTGAATTCCAATGCTACTTACCAAGAAGGTGACCTTCTCCCAGTGACATCAACTCTCCAAATTTAGTTTTGTAATCTGTAAAATGGGCTAATAATACTCACCAGACAATGTTATTGAGAAGATTAAATGAATATATGATTGTGCCCAGGATGGTTTCTGGCACATGCAGGCACCCAATAAATGTGAGTTCCACGGTGACAGGCGATTCTGAGAGGGAGACAGAGCAGGAGAAACCCAATCCCTGTCTTCAGGGACTCAAGGGGTAGAGGACAGCAAGGAGACCCCCAGGAAGAAGAAAGAGAGACCTGGGACAGCCCCCACAGACCTCACAGATGCATGTGGCTGCCCGTGAGGGTGAGGGGCCCATGCCAGGAGGTGGGCATGCTCCATCTTGTCATCCTAGACCAAGAGCTGGGGGCACGTGAGGCCCCACATGCCTCGGAGAGCACTCCAGCAGATGGGGCAGGAACACAGAGAGCTGGGGGGTTACCCTGCTCTGGTCCACATGCCCCAGATCCCTGGGCTGTTCAGAGGCCAGACCGGGAAGGAGGGACTCACCTGCCCAAGGAGGTCAGCCGGGTACCTGACTCTCTGAGAGGCCTACGCAGGTGCCATGGGGGCCACAGATGGTGAGGGGTGCAGGGGCAGTTCCCAGGAAGCAGCTACAACTCAACCCCAGGGGGAGCAAGTCTGGCCACCACAGGAAGAGCTCCCTGAGGAGTGAGCTTCCGGGCAGCGGTGGAAGGGGCAGAGCTGCTGAGTGTGGCCAGGGGGCTGCAGAGAGTCCCTGCCCTGGGCAATAGGCTGCATCCAGCCCTGAGGGTCCGGAGTTCCTGGAGGGGCAGCAGGAGCATTTACTAGCTGCATCCTTGGCGAGTTCGCTAAGCTCTTCCTTCATTCGTGAAATAGGATCTTCATGACCGCCGTGCCAAGTGGCATCGCATGCAAAGTTGCTAGCACAGGGCTCCCATCAACAGACCAGGCTGCTCTCACTTTTCCATGGAAGCCTGGCCTGTGAGCCCGAGCACCTCACTTCAAGCCCTGGCTCTGCAGCCAGCTCACTGTGTGGCCTTCAGCGCATCTCTGGCTCTCTCTGGGCTGCCCTCGCTCCCTCTGTGTCCTGAGAGGAGTGACAAAACCCTTCCTGCTCTGACCTGCTTGGTGCCTTTGGCTTGTCCCCAGAGGGTCTTGCTCTTTTCCGGTAGAGCAGGGTCAGATGTCCTGCATTCACCTTCCAGTGGGGTAACTGCAGCTGGTAATAGATGCACCCCAGCTACAGGGGGTGCTGAGAGTGTCCCCTGGGGCACGGCTGGCTGGCCTGGGGGAGGGAGGCAGGTGCCCATAACTGCCCATTCTGGGTGTGTCCCAGCCTGTAGATGCCTGCCGGAGTCACGTGGTGTGCGACAAAAAGACCAACTCCATCAAGATCAATAATTGTGGGGAGAGGGCTGACAGGGGCCAGGGTGGTCAGAGGGATTCCTAGACTGTGTGGCAAGTAGAGGAGTGGCAGGAAGCAATGGCCTTGGAAATGTCTGGTCAGTCTTATGGAGGAGTCATCACAGCAGGGGTGAGAGCTGGCTGCAGGCCAGGGCATGCAGCCCTGGAGAAGGGGGCCGCAGGTGAGTGTGCAGTGGTTGCAGGACGCTAATGTCCAGAATCCTGAGCTAGGGGTGGCCTTGCCTCCACTTTAATCCCTATACACAGCTGGGACTGAGCAGGGGGCTAGCCCTTCTCTGGGCCTCACAGTCTCAGGTCTCTCTGTGGCTAACTGAGCCAGTGGGGGAAAAGGCCCGCCCTTCCCCTGGTGTGAGCACCTGTCCTTGGCTGGACACTGCAGCTCTCTATCTCCCCACAGAGAAGGCCAGGCCTGCCACTGGGAAGAAGTGGGAGTAGCTGGCTATCTGGAGCTCCAGCTGTGACGTGAGCCCAAGGTGGGACGGGCCACAGTCCGAGGCTGGGCCTGCTGCTGCCCTCCCTCTCCTCGTCCTGAGCCCCCAAAGAGCAGGGTGGAGCCCCAATGGAAGTGACACCATTGAGAATAGAAGACTATCCCCATCTTCAATTGGGGGTAGAAGTTTGGACAGAGCAGGACGTGCTTTGGGAGAGAAGCGATGTCATCGAACTCCAGCAACTATTTGGTGAAACCCCAGATGGATGCTGCCTTCTAGATCAGAGATCTAAAACCTTCATGTGTATATGCATCACCTGGAGGGCCTGTCAAACCACGGAGTCCTGGGCCTGAGCCCGGAGCTTCTGATTCGGCAGGTCTGGGGTGGGGCCTGAGGTTCTGCGTCTCTCAGATGCTGGCTGCGGTGCTGACACTGCTGACCCCCCAACCATGCTGAGGAGCACCGTCTACGTCTTTGTCACTGAGAGCACGGCGCTCGGCCCAGCAGCAAAACACTGCTGGGGAGCGCTTGTTGGAGATGTAGAAGATGCCCCTCCTCCAGCTCTGAATCAGAGTCTGCATTTTGACCAGATCCCCGGCGATTCCCAGGCTCATTCACCTTCACTGGGCAGTGCAGCAGCACTGTCCGTTAGGACTTTCTGTGACGATGGGAATGTTCCATGCTGGCACTGTCCAATACACTAGTTACCAGCCACGGGTGACGGTTGAGCATTGGAAATATGGCTAGTGTGACTGGGCAGCTGAATTTTTTAAATTCTATTTAGCTTTAACTAATTTAAATAGCCTCATGTGGCTAGTGGCTTCCGTCTGTCAGCACAGGTCCAGAGTAACCCAGCCCAGAGGGCCCGTAGAGATTGTCAGTGTGCAGTTGGGGAAAAGGTTCAGAGAGGGATCAGAACCTGCCTGAGGTCCCTCACTGAGTCAGTGACAGGGTGGGACCAGAACAATGTCCCTGGGCTCTGAGGCCAGTGTTTTCTCCTCTTCATGGCACTGCCCCCATGACCCTGAGCACTGGCCCTGCCTTTCTCTCCAAACCCCACTGTGTGCTACAGCTCTAGGATTCAGAGTTCACCAGACTCTCAGCAGGCAGCCGGGTGTGAACACTGAGCTTAGCTGTACAAGTGACTGGAGACGTGCCCACTTCTAGTGCCGTATGTAGCAGTAAGAACTGTTCACCGACCGGGAACAGACGCGCAGTAGGCTGTGTGTGCACAAGCTGGACACTGAGTATACCACACACTTGAGCACACAATGAACTTAGGATAAAGACAACGTTCAGCTTCTCCATGATGAGTAATTAAGGTTAAATGAAATCATGAGGGTGAGGCCTACTCCACTAGGATTAGTGTCCTTGTAAGAAGAGACGTCTGAGAGCTCACTGGCTCGCTCTCTGCCTTGTGAGGACACAGCAAGATGGCAGCTGTCTGCAAGCCAGGAAGAGGGTTCTCACCAGAAACCCACCCCGCTGGACCTTGACTTGGACTTGTAGCCTTCAGAACCGTGAGGAAATACATTTCCGTTGCTTAAGCCCTGGGTCTGTGGTATTTTGTTTTGGCGGCCAGAGCCGACTGAGACACAGGGGAAATTGGTTTGATTTTAAAAGCTAGAGGAGAACAAGCCACATCCTATAACCTTTGCTGTCCCTCCTCCAGGAAGCCAGGGGACCCTGGGACAACCTACCCTCCTCCCCAGCGAGACAGGGGATCCCACCAACACTCCCCTCCATAGCTGAGAACTCTGAAAGGGTTGGGGACCTGATCCTTAACATAAGCAAGAGTTAGCAGTGTGTGGGACTGGGGAGGGGGCCTGGGGCGGGTAAGACATTTAAACAGGGGGTGATGGCTGCGTGGAGAGGAAAAAGACGTGCAGACAGGGACGAGGAAGTTCTGCAGAGGACCTTAAGATTCGGACCCAAGCAGGTTGGGCCCCCAAGCCCATAGCACCCCTCTACCCAGCAGACTCTTCCCTGAGAGCCTTGTGGGCCCCACTAAAGAGACTGGATTCGAAGCCACAGGCCTGGGGTTTGACTGAAGGAGTTTAGACCAGCAGGTTTCTGTGAACGTGTTTATATTCCAGACAGATCACCTGCCATTCGTGCAGATGGTAGCTTGTAGCAGGAGAGACTAGAGGCCTAGGACCAGCTAAGAGGCAACAGGGGAGAAGTTCAAGGGCTTAGATCGGGTCATTGGCAATGGAAATGGAAAGGAGAGGACAGAGAACAGAGACATGAAGGAAGTAGAATTAGCAGAACTCATCCCAGTACTCCAGAATTCGCAGAACTCCGTGGGAGGCGTGGAGTAGATGGGGGGCAGGGAGACGGAGGGCAGAGCTGAAGGTGACCCTGATTTGCGGCGTGGATCCTGGGTAACAAAGGTGCCACTCAGGAGGGCAAGACGCAGCAAAGCACTGAGGAAGGGGAGGATGAGTTCAGCTAGAGAAGGTTCAGGTTTGAGGCCTGGGGGCAGTTGGAGGGGTCCAGAAGGCAGGAGCGGTACTGGTCTGGAGCCCCACAGAGCGTGGGAAGGGGGCAGGGGTTTGGGACCCCTGCACGGTACTCATCTACTATCCTCAACAGGGCTCCCTCCCTCGGTCCCCAGAGGTCCCTGTGGATCTGCCCGGGACAGGGGTGATGCTCTGTGAGCCAACCAGGCCCGAGCACCTCTGCACTCTGTGTGCTCCAGCCAGTGTTGCCGCTGAGAAAACGGGTGGTGCACGGCCTACCTGTCCTCTGAGTTAACCAAGCCTGCCGAGGGCCCACTCGTCTGGTGGCCGGAGAAAGGGATGAAATGAGGCCAACGCAGCAGAAGCTCTGCCTCCGTAGAGGCCTCTTCGACGCCTCCACGCTCTGTGAAAAGAGCCCCATAAAATGACTCTCCACACAAATAGAAAGATTATTTCTGGAACTAGAGAAAAAGTAAAGTGGCAGGATATTGAGGATCAAAGGAGGGACAGGCTGGTTACCAGCAGCCCCAAGGGGACCAAGGACTGGAGAGTGGGCCAGCCGGGGCCGTGGAGGCAGGTTGGCTCCAGGTGAGGGAGGCCTTGCCAGAGTCCCAGCTGTCCACCCTGCTATCGACTGCCTGAGAGGTGGTGAGCTCCCCATCACAGTGAGAGCCCAAGCTAGGACTGGAAAGCAGCTGTTAGAGAGGTTGCAGAGGAGCTCCCAGCCTCAGGAGGAAGGCCCCACAAAGTCTCAGACCCTTCACCTTGATTTTCCCCAGATTCAGCCGTTCTTTGAACCTGGTTCCCCCGGCGCGGACAGTTTCCACTTGGCACGTGGATTTGCCATCCTAGGGATCCCTCCCCTCCTGTTCCAGTCCTCCCCGTCCCTCCCAGCTAATTAATCACACTGTGCATGTGCAATCAATCACAGGCGTCACTCCTGGGTGGGACCTGACGCTAAGTGGTCCCACAGGCCAGTGCCTCTCAAACTCTGATGAGCATAAGAACAACATGCGGATCTCATCCAGCTGGTCTGGGTGGGGCCTGAGAGTCTGCATCTCCAACAAGCTCCCAGGTGCTGCTGCCGCAGGTCCTGGAACTACCCTTAGAGAAACAAAGTGGTAGCTGCCAGTGAGACCCATCAGGATTCTACAACAGGGGGGTGGCGGAGGCGGGGGGCATTAAGAAGCCCCCGGTGCAGGATTTCAAAGGAACGGACTCAGTTCTTTCTGAAGCAGAACTAAGTCCAACCCTGCCTCTGTCCATCCTGGGGACCATTCCTGGTCTCCCCTGCTTGAGAAGCATAAACCTGCCATAGGAGGGCAGCTGCACCACAGCCTGGGGACCCCCGTGTGACCTCCCGGTACCCCCACCTGTCCCTGGTGAACTGCTTCTGTCTAGAGGAGCTCTTTACTGGTTGTGTGGGCTGGCTGAGACCCCATCACACCAGGGCTCATTTCAGGGGCAGCCCCGCCCAGCCAGGGCCCTAGACAGAGGAGTCTCCTTCCTCCCCACCCCAGCTGGCTTCTGACCACAGAGGCAGCCTCTGCAGCCCTTCCCTGGGAACCAGTAGGCCTCAGCCTCTGGCCCTTCCCCCTCTGGGCCTCAGTTTCCCCATCTATAATGTGGGGGTAAGCCGAAGGTTCTCTTGGAGGTACCTGGCTCAGCACCCACTGAATCAGGCTTCTGGGGCTCAGAGCAGGTGGGGATGGGGCCATGGAGGACAGGTGAGTGTGAGTGGTGGCGGGGCAGGCGGCTCCATCAGGATGCACACGCCTCCACAGCCTCTCTCAGCACTGAGGGTTCTCGGATATTTTTAGGAAGGTTGGCACCTCCTGGGCTGTGATTCATTAAGGCAGCTGACAAAGATCAGCATCTTTCGAAACTGCAGAGAGAAGTTGAGAAGTTTCCCTAGTATTGCTGTGTGTGTCGGGGGGAGGGAGTCGCAGTCCTGTTGTTTCTCCCCAGAGCTGTGAATGTCAGGGAAGGGGAGGTAAGAGGGTGGAGGGAGGGGACGTGTGGGGTGGGGGGAGGGGGGGAATGGGTGGGGCTCCTGGGCGTGTGCATTCTGAGTGAGGGGCTTGGTGCCCAGGGCAGGGCTATTCTGCCATGACAAAGCAGAACGTCTTCAAAGTGTCCCAAGTGTTCTGGAAGGATGCTCTTCTGTGTGTGTGTGTGTGTGTGATGGAGCCAACAGGGACATTGTGACATCATGGCCCAGGGTTCAGAGCCTCATTTGCTCTATTTCAATAAATCTTTGTTGAGGTCCTACTGTGGTCACAAACTGCATTGCAAGGCCCATTTACTTACTGCTTTTTTCCATTTGTGCATTTATTCTGCACACATGTATCAGGTACCTGCTCTGTGCAGACCCCAAGTCGGGTCCTGGGGACGGGGCTGAACCAGACCCGATGCCTGCCTCAGGGCTCAGTGCTGCAGGAGAGAGGCATACTATCTGGCAAGACAGTGAGGGCACCACGGGGGGAGCTGTAGGGAGCATCCCAGAGAAGTGAGCATTGACAGGACCTGGAGATGTGACAGGGAACAAGGGAATCGCTGGGCAAAAGCAGAGGTATGATGCGGCAGGCATATTTAGGGGCACGGAGCAGCCAGTGCGGTCCTGACCTGCAGAGGCCTGGAATGCCAGGCCAGGTAGGGTGTTCTGGCTGCTCTCAGAGTTCACCGCCTCCCTCCATCCCCGTCCAAACATGCCCTGTCCTTGTGGGGACTGAAGAGGCTCCTGCCGCCCCCAACATCATTCCCAAACCCCATGGCACCAGCCCCCAGCCCCAGGGCTCCAGCCTCCACTATTTCTGTCTCTTCTGTCACCATCACACCACCTCCCTTCATTGCTGCTATGACAGGATGGCATCCCGTGCTATCCTCCAATGGGCAATACCACTTTGGGACCTGCCGAAGGAGGCAAGAGGGTAAGGACAAGGGCCTGGAGGCCTGGCAGAATTCCTTCTTACTCAGAGGAGCCTGGTCTTTTTGTTCTGTTCAGGGCTTCAACTGATTGGATGAGGCCCACCCACATTTACTTAAATGCCACCTATTTAAATGTTAATCCATCCAAAGACACGTTCCAAGCTGACGCTGAAATTAACCATCAAGGAGATGGTGGGCCTGGCCACAGCTTGGCCCTAGGCCCTGGGATCTTCCATGAGCCCTGGAACCACCTGTCCCATTTCCTTTTTCTGGCCTGTGCTCAGTTTACCAAACCGTCCCGGGAGCCGGCCTGACTACGCCAATTGATGAAAGATGCCCAACATCCACGGGGTCTGGGCTTCGGGCCGCCAGGGGAGCAGGTAGAGTGCTGGTCCACGGGCAAGCTGCCCCAGGGTGCAGGCTGACTGGGAAATAGGTCACCCGTTGTCCACGCCGCTGTGAACTCAGAGACTCAGAGTCCGACGTTTCTCTTTTCCTAGAACAACCTGCAGGATGCCTGTAACTTTCAGGAGCGTTATTCACAGTTTAAAAATAGCAAGCACCACGCAGCTCAGGGTGAGGGAGGCCGGGCGCGGGCTTCCCCGGGCGGGGCGACAAAGGCTGTGTGCTGGCTGGTGCAGGGGCTCCGGTGAGGGGGCAGCACAGGGCCTGGAACCAGAGGGGCCTGGGGAAAATGCCGTGCCTTCCCCCCTCCTTCATTCATTCACCCACACGTACACCCTGAGCTCTTCTCTGGGCACCGAGGGACAGTGGGAACAGGATCTGGCCCCACCTGGAGGTGCTCAGGAGCCAGCAGACACAGCGACAGTGGGAGTCAGCTGGGGCCTCACGGGAGCTGGGGGGCTGGTAGAGGGTGCGCCTCTGGCCTGCCTGGAGGATGAGGTTGAGTCCCAAAGCTGACGGCTTTTGGGCAGGCCCCGAGGGGAACGGCAGCTTCTCCAGGGGCCCAGGTGCGCTGTGGAGGGAGCACGGCAGCCCTCTCCTGTTCTGGAAGCAGTTCCCACAGGGGCGAAACAAGGAGGCTGGACGAGGAGCTCCAGGAATTCGAGATTCATATGTATAAAAAGTCCTCCTCCACTCCTAGATCCTCCTGTACATGCGTGTGCGTGAGTGTGCGTGAGTGTGCATGAGAGCACCGCTCCGCCCCAGCTGATGCTGAAGCAGATGTGGTTTAACACCATGAACTTAAGCATGTCCACACCCACCACGTGTCCCAGCTCCCTCACCCCACAAGTCCCAGGCTGCCCTCAAACCTCCTGCTGTGACCTGGGCCCACAGCTGCCCACTCATCCAGATTCCTGGGCTAGGAGCACCTCTGACTCCTGCCTCCCTGTGGGCCTGAGTTCACGGAGTTCTACAACAGTCAGCAGACCCCTCCTTCCCTCAAAGCCGGGGGGCCAGTGGCTGCGCCTCCTGGGGGCGCGGCAGCACCATCCCTGTGGCCACCTTGCTCCAGCTCACCTATCACCCCAGGAGAATGGGCTTCTGTGTCGGAAGTCACCGACGCCTCTTGTGCACACTGGGCCCTGTCCGTGAGTCTTCTCTGTTCCTGTGGGTTTGCCTCTCCATTCGGCCATGAGCTCCTTGAAGGTAGGATTCGCAGTTCTTCATCACTCCCACCCACTTGGTGCCAGTGCAGTGCCTGCCACGTCCCCTCACTCAGTGTGACGGGATGGCGGAGCAGTTCTGGGGCCCTGTGTCCCAGGCTGTTGCCTGCCTCTCACCTGAGCTGGGACTGATGGATTAGGCCTGCTGACCTCAAAGAAGCTCCATAAGGGAGGCTGCAAGTGGATGGGAAATGAGGAAACTGAGGCACAAAGGCACCAGGTGGCCAGATAGGAGGGGGCAAAAGGGAGGGGCCATAAGCAGGCTCAGCCTTCTCAGAACCCTAAGCTGTCCTTTCTCCCATTCAGTGACCTCTCCATCATCTTGCCCCACCGCCCCTCTCGTTTCCCAGAGTCCTTCACTGCCATTCCTTCTCCAACCTCTTCTTTTTCACAAAGTGTCCCACACTTCAAAATGATCTCATCTCCCCACCACACCCCTGTCCGCTGGCTCCGGGGTCCAGCGGTGTCTGGAGGAAAACCATCAACTTGACTAAATCACATGGACTCAGATCCAGCAATGGATGTCCAAGTGGACCCTTGCAAAGTAGCCACGATCCAGGGGATGCTCTGAATCTGGAGGGGAGAGGGAGATGCTCAGCGAGTAGGCAGCCAGCTGCCTGGTGACCTCTGCTTTGGGGAATTTGAGGTAAAGCAAAAACAGAGCCAGGTCACCCCAAGGCTGCCCACAAAGGCCCGGGGCCCCACTTACCCTCCTCAAGGCTTTGCTGGACCCCTTAGGCAACTCTCTCCCCTTTCATTACTCTAAACCCCTGCCCACCCACTTGTCTCATGGATACTTCTTTCCTTCCTATCACCATCTCGGCATCTCTCCCCCAGGGATAGCCTGCACTCCTGAGGCAGGTGAGAGCCCTCATGGAAGCAGGTGAATCCTTGGAAGCTCCATCAGTCTCAGAAAGCTGGTCTGCTCCAGAGCCCTCTGAAAACCTGTGCAGCATTCTCCCTGCCTCTCTCCGCTCCTTTCAAGCCTTTCTCAGGAGGACGAAACGCTTCCAGGGGGAGCTTTCAGATGGTGGATGAAGCATGGCTGTATTCCCTCCCTTCCCCATCCCACCAAAATGCCTGGAAAATCCCTGTCAATGTGGCAAAGAGCTCATCAGTGACGAGAGATTCTGTTGACTTTCTGGAAAATGGGAAGCAGATTATACTGAACTGATGGATAAAACAGAGCAAGGAAGTCACAACCTAAAAGTGGCCCCGGAGAGATGAGGAACAGACACTCTCCGTAGAGAGTCAGGCAGGCAGCCCACCCACATCTATCAGAGTTCCAGAAAGAGAAAATGACCTGGCTTAAAGACACAGGTCTTGCATCTGAAAGGCAGGATACCCTGGAATATCCTGTGAAATTTCAGAAGGCCAGTGACAAGAAGATCTTAGCTTCCAGAGAGTGAAAAACAGGTCACCTACAAGGAATGGGAATCAGGTTAGCATCAGAAATTGCATCAACACCACAGACACCAGAGGCCAGTGGGTTCAGAGGGAAAATGATTTTGAAACTTCGATCCTATAACTAGACAAACTATCAATTACCCTTTTCAGACAAAGATTGTTAGAGGATGTACTACAAGCCAAACGAAAAAGGAATCGAAGAGAGGAAGGCATGGGGAAAGGAAACAGTGGAACTACCCCATGCGGTGCCCTGAAAGGAGATCCCAGCCAGGGTGCCCACAGGACCCCAGAGAGCTGACGGTCCAATTGAGACCCTTCCACAAATAGTATGACTAAAAATCCAGTGGTTTTAAGGATATAGAAAGGAAGAGGAATGGTGTGTTTCTTTTTTGAATGAGAAAAAAGGCAGAACAAGAGGTAGCCAGGGAAAAGAAAAAACTGTGCAAGAAGTCAGGGTGCACGTGCCTACGAGGCCAGCTGAAATGCAGCAACTGACGGGTTTGAGAAACTGACGGCACGTAGGTAGGAGGACTCTGATCCAAGGTGCATGTCTTTTTTATCCAGGCAGCCTAGATTTTGTGACTCAGGAATACGATTCCTTCTCTAAGGGGCCAACTTGGATACTGTTTACATAATCATCACATTGTAAAAGTTATGTTGAAATCAACCAATGGACAAAGCCCAGCAGTCCTAGTTAGTTCCTGAATAGCCTGTAAATGTCATAACCTTGATCATATAAAAGAAGTTGATAGAGTAAAAGAACTTGATAGTGTCCTTGGTACAGTTAAAGAACTTGATCATGTAAAGTAAGGCAGACTGTAGAGCTGGGAGGTGTAGGGAGGGGAGGTGGAGGCGCAGAAACCACTTTCCTCTTCTCTTTGCAGAGCGGGCAGCGGGGAGACACTGTGCAAAGCTAGTAGAACAAAACACATCAGGGTTTAAG